GTACCGCGTATGTATCGATATGCATTCCTTTAAAACATCGAGGTCATCCCACGCGTTTCTTTACCGTCAAATAATAAAGCGATAGATGTTATTATATATAGGTATGCATACTAAAATATATTGTCGCCGTACCGAACGAAAATTGTGTTTTCTGAATTCCCGCGGGAAAAAAAAAAAAAACTAAAACCACGTCCGTGTAACGCGTACAAAAAAAAATCCTCCGAAAACCGTTTTAGAATTAATACGCACAACATTACGAACAAACAGCCGCACTATTTACGTATCGGCACTATTTAAAATACGACGAATAAACAATGACGATGACGATTCGAATATTTTAAGAAACATTTCAAAACGCCGCCGATGAGGCACGTGACATTTACACTATGATGATGGTGTTTTATCTCTATATAATCTGCGGCACTTTATCAGGTCTACTTTCTTTGGCTGTTGGTGAATCGCCGCCAAATCCTTAAATCGAATACGCGAGTTGCGGCCCGGGTTTATGAGCGATACGTATGTATTGCAGCCGCATAATAATTATTACCACTTCAGAACACCATAACATTAACTGATTAACTTTACTCGGGAGACACCTCGGAGAGGTTAGCTCAGTCATCTTCTATGTCTTTAAATTCTTTTATTTGTAAAAAATCACTTATCATTTGCCCGTTGAAAACTTTTCCGTTAGTTTCTATTATGGTTATGGATTGTGATCAATGTCACCCTGTTTTGGGGTTCAAATCTCCCCCTCTCGAAATTTGTTTGCGTTGTAATATTATGTTATGAGAAAATAATTATTTCAGACAATAAAATTAAAACACAACTAATTTTTATATTTTACCACCCTACCTCCCCAAAATTATTATATTAAGTATACAGCCTTGGTTAGGCGTAGTTAAACTTGACTAGTAAACTTAGTATTCATATCAAACCGTACAAATACAAAAAACTATACGTTTTTATTAATTCTAAGTTGTCATTATATTCTATAATATATATAGTAGGTTGAATAACGATTTTTAAAACTGGCGGAATAGGATTGGTTTTATAAATTATTTAAGAGAGATATGGGTAAAAGTACTGATTATCAATTATTTGTAATCGAAGTAAATTCGAAGGCGAAAAAATAATTAATATTGAAGTGTTAATACAGAGTCGAAAGAAATGAAGGTGGACGTTATAATGTGTTTAAACTCGCTTCCCTCTTACCTATAAGCCACTGGTCACAGCGGACCACTTTTTAATATTTCATGCTAAAGCGAATTTGAATTTTTTCATTTTCCCGACAATTCCGTCGAAATTGCCTATACGCAATCCTTTAAATAACTTTGCAGGGCGAAACCCTACCGAATAATATTGAATATTATTTAGGGAAACTGCAGCAATAACACTATTATAGTGATTCGTTTCGTTTTTTCGTAGCGTTAGCTGATAAGGTACTTTGTAATTCGGGTGGGTAATACTTTAACCGTCGCTGCGCTGCTGCAGGACTTCATTTCCGGTCGCACGCTGCGTGCACGTAACGGACGCATTTTACTCGAACCGCGGCCATTGAATGATAACGTCGAATTTTTTCAATACTTTTTTTTTTATACATATAACATATAATGACAAAACGTGTCGACGAAAATATTTCCTTTTATTTATTTTTTTTTTTTTTTTTTTTTATACACGAGCGTTTACTACCTATACAAATCGGTACGCAGTCTGCTCGTCGGTTTCTTTTTTTTTTTTTTATATATATACGACGACAACGCGTTCGTAAAACGGGCCGACCGCAAGCTGATAAAGAACCTTTTTTTTTTTTTTTTTTTCCCGTA